CGGTTTTAGAATATTTTTGCCATGAATATATGTGTTGTTTGATGTGAGAAAATTCCGCTACATAATTTAAAATTTGCGGATTTTCAGCGTAGGAATCTGAAGGCAAAAAGTATTATCGAATGGCCAGTGCAGATTTTCTGACAACTACATTTTAGAAACCCAGCATTAAGTTATCCTGGAAAAAACAGTACAATTAGAATGAAATTTCACAAAAGCATGTGAGTTCTGAGTCAAGCATGTTTTAAGCACTGCAAACCCACACTGGAGGATTTAGATATGTATGGGCTTCTGGAGGTCTTGTACCACAGCCAGTGTTTTATATCACCAGAAAACATGTAAACAATGAGTGATCCAATTCTACCTTCTTTTAGATACTTGCCATTTCCAATAGCAAGACTTTCTTTCCACTGGATAATAAGGTGAAGGAAAGATAAGTGCTTTACTCTCAGCAGATGTCCTTGAGCATAGCACCTGAAATTCAGTGTACTGTGTCGAGTGTATATAGTGGTTAACTACAGCAAAATGTGTTGTTTTCTGGAGTGCTGAAGAAAAATTTCCATAGAAACCCCATAACTTCCTACCTTGAACTTGGAAAATTGCCATTTGAGGGAACAAAAACAAATAGACAAAAACCAACAGATTCTTACAGTAAGACACTCAACAAAGAGTTAGATGTGTGCCTGTATGTGTATGAAAAGAAAGCAAGTCTTTAAACACTGTTTAAGCTAAGATCTAAACCATTATGAGAGAGGTGCAGAGCTACTATATTTAAGATGTAAATAATATCTGTGGACTTCATACAAACCAGTTTCTCTGTACTTGAAGGAGTATTTTGTGCAGTTCTTCTACCCTTGGTGTAAGGTCAGTGTGACACAGACCCTCTAAGAATGTGGTAGTGTGTTTCCCAGAAAGGAGAAAAAACATTGATCAAAAGCTGTTTTCTGCCATATGACACAGCCTAGAGAAACCATAGAACGGATTAGCTTTCTGCATCTTCAATGTAATTCAACAGGTACCCAAATTACAGAATTTTTTATAACAGTTCTTTAGAGCTGAAAAGCATATCTAGTAGATGTAAAAATAATATCGAAAAACTTTTGAGATACTTGAAAGTATCATGCAGTAAAGTGTCTGAAACAAAAATATTGAGATCTTTTTATGTGAATTCCTGTGGTGTAACACAGATCAAAGCTATTGAGGGTATAAATTTGTGTGAATAGGTTTATGTGAATAGGGTATGAGAAATGAATCTTTTTCCAAAGTGCATGTTTACATTTTTGGTTTCTCTGTGCCTGTATGTTCAGGATTCTGGAGTACGAGTGTTTCTATCAATTAAAAACCTTTCTAAAAGGAACAGTATTCCATGGGAAAGAGGCCCTTACCATCCAGTCTGCAGCAGAGTATTGTTCTTCAGAAAATTTTATATTTCTTCTAAAGTTATTTTGTGTAATCCATGTGACATAATATATCCGTGTCATGGTCCTGTTTGTGTGGAAACATGTACACTTTGACCTCAATGCCAGTTGGCTGGTAGATGAAACTTAGTCACTCAGCCAGTAATTGTTGCTTGTTCTGTTCTTCCTTACTGGTAATCTCTGCAGGAGAGAAAAAATGTCAGAATTTCTGTTTCACAGGAAATTCAAATATTTTAACAGGTGGTTTTGTCCCAAACTTCAGATGAAAACAAAAAGTTTTGAAAAAAATTTTGCTTGGAACATGTGAAAAAAGTGCAGTTAATATGACACTGTGATGCATCTCCTAGCAGTAGTACAATGCCTTCTGGAAGCAGAAATTTTGATGATTTATCCTGTCGTTCTTCATGGACTGGGTCCTTTGAAGAGACTACTCCTGCTGTTACATTTATGCTTACAACTCCTGTGATGCACCAGGGCCATGTCTGTGTGATTAGATACACCGTGTCTTAGATGCTGGACCACAAATAAGCAGGTTAATGTCAAACTGATTGTTTAGGCTCAGTTCTACAAACCAGAACGTATCTTCTCACGTCAACCCAAACCAAAGTATTTCATTCTTTTCCTTATTTTCCTGATGAAAACTCTGTAACGTTGTTACAGAAATGCACTCAACTGGGTAAAAATGCAATTTTCAATTGAAAAAGTCATGTGATTAAAAAAAAAAAAACTACAAGCTCTAAGAATGAGTAATGTCTTTGCTGCCTGTTCTGTTCCTTCATATATACCAAAAATAAGTCTTTTTTAATACACTAACACTTGCCATTCCCTCCTTATATGCAGTGTTCATTAATATCGAAGCAGTTTAACCTCCCTTCTCCTACTTCCCCATCTTTCCTCTTCAGTCTGTTAAATGTGCTGTAGCTGATACAGTCCCATCAAGTATATTGTGCTTTTGTATCTCTTTGGAGGGTCTTTTTTTGTTTTGGTTTGGGGTGGGGGCAGTAATTTATTTTGTGTATGTGTGTGTGATGATGAACCATAATTATCCAAATGTTTTTTACAGAATTTCTTTCATCTCAGAAACCTAGGGTGTGTGGGAGAGGGGCAGAAATGGAGGAACATATCCTGGGTAAACATTTGGTGTTACATTTGCTTCAGTCTGGACAAGACTACAAATGATAAGGGCAAACTTAACACGTACTTTGAAGTAGGGAAAGGAAAAAGCGGACTTTTACAAATTATGAAGTACTAATGGAATTTTTGTAGTGCATGGAACATCTCCAAGAGGTTCATATGAACAACCGCTGAAATAACATCATCCTCTTTGAAATGGTACATCTGATCAGAATGTAGGGAGGTGTCAGATTTAGTTTTGCAGCAAAGGATACAAGTTCTACTGCAGCAATCAGTGAAAAAAAAGGATGCTGGTGTGGATAAAGATGGTGTGGGAGAGTGTGTGTGGTATCAGAAGCATTCATTCTGGAATTTGCCTAACAGGAAAATAATTTAAATATAATGTAATAAGCATGGTTCTAATACAAAGCCTAGAAATGCTATAAAGGAGTAGTTTCAGAAAATAAATAAAATGAAAGAAAGTACTTCTGCTTATTTCCCATTTAATGATTAAGAAATTTTATACTTAAGAGGGAAGTTTTAAGTAGCATTTATCCAGTCAGTAAGAAGAGCATGTGCATGGAAGAAGAGTCTGCAGAGAAATTATCAAAGGGGAAAGAAGAAGCTACTTAAAATAAGCAAAGAGAGGAAATATAATTAAACTTTAGGACAGATGATGCAAGGATGATAGGTGCTAGTACTGACAATGTGCAAGTGATATTCCTTCAGCTAGCAAAATGACATAGAGCTGCCCAGGACATACATAGGCTACAATTTCCAATATATGCTACAAATACAGAAATGGCATTCAACTGTTAAGATCAGATGACAGGCATACCTTCTTACCTGATTTATGTCTCTGTGTGTGCCAGGACAAACAGTCACTTTTGTGGGCATAATTATGGGGGCTGCTTTCTGAACTTTGATTCGATAAATCAGTCTGTGTTCTGTAAATACACAGCACGATCTATATATGCTATAAAATGTATGTGTTGGTTTTGCTGCTTTTCTTTTACATTTCTGGGCTCAGCTCCGCAGTCCAGAAATGCTTATACTTGCTGTTGCTCTGTTAACCTTTGGACGGCATCTCGTGTGTGTTTACAACCTTTGTACAAAAGCTGACTGCAGCTATCTGTTACTTAATTTACCAGGCACAACTTCACAAAGAGAGGGACGCTTTCTCTTTTGTGATCTTGCAACATTTTTAGATGTGAGGAGGTATGATTGGTGTTCGGTGATTGCCAAAACTTCTGCCTGAATTATGAAATATATATCATGGTTGTGAAGATGATCAGCGTATGTTTTCTTCAGGAAGCATACCAGCAGAGAGATCAGTAACGTAGTGAACGTAATTCTCCCTTTGGATTTTTTTTTTTTTCCTGTTTTGGTGGAAAGAACAGGAGGAGGTTCTCCTTGCATAGAAATTTATAAAGACCAGTGATATGAACAGAATTTTTTTTTTTTTTTAAAGTAGAGAAAGTGAAAGTTTAGTATAGAAGGCAGTAGTCAGAATGTTGAAGAAGCTTCTAATAACTTGCAAATAAAGGCTATCATTGGGACACGTAAAATATGTTTAGTACATAGTTGAGTGTTTCTGTGCAATAAACTCAAAGTGCAGTTCAAACTCAATTTTGGATACTTGGGTTCAGCTCATTTTACAGATTTATGAGTCACTCAGTTCTTTGTAAAGAAGATAGACTAAGATCCAAAATATACAAACCACATCTTAATTTATAGAATAATGTTCAGACTTTCAAAGTCTAAGAAAAGGAATTACAGTTCATCCAAAGTGTTAGTATTTTTTTGCTGCATCTTATGTAAACCACTGGCATCACCAGTGACTCTGTATTGCGTACAGGTTTCTGTAAGGAGAGAGATACAGAGTTTATCTGCTGTGCGTATTATGACTTCACAATTTTCCTGCTCCATTGACTTGTCTGTCTTTGGTCCTTTGGTACCATATGTGAAGCTTTTGTCAACATAGGGGGAAAAAAACCAACTTTTTATCCCAGAAACATGGTGAACATCAACTGCAGCAGGAAGTCCCAGTCATAAAATGCTGCAGGCGGTGGCATAGCTACACCTGTGGCTCATCTAAGAGTTTCTCACATTTACAGACAAAGATGTATTTTCCCGTCCATCATATAGTTTATCTCTGGAGCTTTGCATTGGATAAAATATGAATGGTTCATCGTGCTCTTCTGACAGTGTCAAGTTACTGATGTTGACCACATTAAGAGGTTAGTGGTGAAGACACTGAAGAAAGAAGTACTGCTGGGTCTAGAAAGCTGAAGTGTATGGATCTGCTGCGTGCTAAAAACTTGTAAGAAAACCACTACCCGTTTATGAGATGTAATAATGGACTGAGCATGATAAACTTAATCTTCTCTGTTAAAACCCTGGCTACGTACATGCACAGAAAATATTCGACATTTACTCTTTCCTAACCATGCATTTTCTTTTTTTCACTAGGGCATATTTCAAAACGTTTGTCCCTCAGTTCCAGGAGGCAGCATTTGCTAATGGGAAGCTTTAGACAGCCTCAGGCATGGAGATGATACTGGACAGATCCTTCAGTCTGCATGTGTCCTGTCAACCCGCAAGAAAAATGCCTGGAAATAGGTTGGACTATCTTGATAGGTGCTTTCTTACCTCTAAAATGGTTTTGGTAGCTTCAATTTTTGTCAGATTTCTGAAACAAAGACCTCACAAGCATGCTTAAAACTGAGTATTCAGTATTCATCCTGTCCCTTTGCCTCTGCCACCACCATTCCTTTATGTATCCACTGGATTAAATTTAAAAGGGTGTGTTTTGAAATTATAACATTTTCTTGTGCCAACAAGAAGACATGTCCTGTATGTTAGGCTTTGTTTTCTTGTCTTCAGATGGTGTAAATTGGATATTTTTTTCCCCAGAAATGCTATGTAATTTGTATATTGAGTTAACATTTCCAGCTTATCCTAAGAAAATGTAAAACTGCTGTATGTACC